CGATCTCGACTGACAGACTTTGAAGGTCAGCACGCATGATGACAACGTCCAGCAGTCCGCCCTTGTGCGTCGGCAAGAACACGTGACAAATCACGCCAAAGGTTACCAGGAGTTCGTTTAGCTGAGGAGCCGAAGGCTTCTTGACGCGATCCAGTCGAACGTTTAAATCGCCGGTGATAAGGACATGATTTCGGAAAGTCACAGTCTGGTGAAAACATCGCTAAATTGGACGAATAAATCGCGCGACGCAGCAACCGATCCAGGACGATAGATGATCACTGCAACGCCCGCAAACGAGGTGCAGGTGACACTAGCTGCATATCACCCTAGCATCTCAAAGGTGGTATCCAATGAAAATTTACAGACGAGTCAGCTTCTGATCTGGAGTACCAGAAGCTGGGGCGACTCTAAATTTTGTTAGGGTGGGTCGGACTCCGATGTCAAGAACGGAAGATGAACGCCACCGCTGGCGACGGTAGGCACTCCACTGTAATTCATCGCCAGTGCGTCGGGTTGCATGCGGAGCCGCGCGCGTTCGACTACCTTGAGTCCTTCAGCGCGAAGACGCGCGATGCAAACCGAGTCAGCATCGTGCCAAGTTTCGGTCAGGAAGACGACATCTAGTGAGCGACTGATATGAAGGAACTCCTCAACTTTATTATTCAGCGAACGGGTGTATATTGTGGAATGCTTCGTTGTTGGTTGAGAATATGTCTGGTGATGTTGTGCTGTTATGTGTGATGAGTGTTGTTAAGTATAGGCCAGTGTGGGTGCACTTGTGTCGGGTTATGAATGAGTGCAATTGTTTACCTATGTGGTAGGAGGAGGAATCTCCTAATGTGGTATGTCTTGCGTTTAGGTCTACGAGAAAGTATACGGGGTGGGGTCTATTCAGAAGTGTGTGGACGTCAATGTAGTTGATGTAACCTGTGCGAGGTGGGATGTATGCATGTCGTTCCTAATGTGATGGGTCCTTGTTGGGTATCTATTGTGATCATTAGCGTATCTGCATGGAAGTTGTCGTGTAGTTTGTATGGAATATGGCGTTTGATTGCGATGGCAGCACCGGAGTGGATTAAGTTGTCTTCATTACAGGTGTGGACGTTGAAATTGAATATCTCTTGTGGAGTTGTCTGTGATGTCGTGATCATTTATAACTATGATGTTGGGATCTGTGTTGTACATATTTGATAGTTTAAATTTTTTACTGTGCCAGTGTTGGACATTGCGCTGTATTATCTATAGTGTTGGTTGAGGGGTCCCGACTGAGGAGTATGTTTAGATGTAAATTATTCTGTTTTTTTTTTTAGCGGTGGATGTTTTCATGGATGTGTGTATGTGCATGGTAATGAAGGTGTCGTGATGGATGATGTTCATTGTGGGCTCGTTGAATTTGAATTTGCCTCGTCTCAAATAGTCTATATATAATTTTTGAGTAGTCTAGGTCTTTCCCCGAGAGCTTCAGTCCGAATTCGGTCGTTCTCAGTTCGTCGAGGTACCAGCTGCCTTGAGGGACGGTATAGGGATTGGGTTGGGGTCTCTTTTGCTTATAAATAGTCTTACTGCTATTAATTCATCTTGTCCTGGCATTGAAATTGGTGATTCTCGGTATTGTGCGTCACTAATTCTTCGTTTTCTGGGCTCGCTTTCTTCGTAGTGGATTTTGGTTGTCGGGGAAATAGGGACGTTCTGAAGGATCTCGTTATCTGTCTGCCTTTCTGTCAAGTTTAGTGAGGACCGTCTCATCAATAAATTCTGTTTAGAGGTTAAAGTCTATGTCGGGAGTCTTGGTTTCATGTTGGTTATAGAAGTAATTGAATATTTTGACGGAGTCTCTATATAATCGGGAAAAGTCGCGTCAACGTCATCTTCAATGATTTTAATAGTATAGTGCCAAAACTCTCATGTCGGGAGAGGCTGGCGATATGTGCTTCGAGTATATTGCTGTCAGTTTTAGTTGCGTCTTGTCAGTCAGTACGTGTCAAGCTGTGTTGTGGAATTTTTGTTTGTTTGATTGCTTGTTTTGCTATGTCGAGATACATTTGATTTGTTTGTGTGTTCGATGATTTTTTGCGGTGCTTATTTGTTTGTATTTTTGTTTGCGATGTGGACAATTGGCGGCTAGTGTGCGGTGGTCGTTGTGGCAGCTGAGACATGTCTTATAGGTGCTTGTGCATTGGGTTTGCTTGTGCATTGTGCTTTTGCATTGGGGGAGGGGGGAGCAATAACGCAAATAATGGTTTGATACAGTCGTTTTTACAAAATATGGTATAGAGAGAAATATGAAAGAAATACGAAAGATAGAGACAGAAATACGAAAGTCACTCCCTAGCGACGCTCACTGATGGAAGGCTGCTAATCCGAATGGGTGTGAGGCTGCTAGTCCAAAGCTTTGAGCACCAAAGAATGAAAGCACGCTTGTTGCCATGAGGGGCCAACTCCATTTTCTTCTGTCCAACAGCGGTTTATACGCCCGTGGTTAGCACTGCCATGGAATCGCTGACCCTGCCAGACACGCCTAGACCTCCCTCGCTGAGTTTGATGAACTGTGTGGCTGATGGAGTGGAGGCCTTGGCCAGGACGGTACAGGCATATGCTCCCAGCAGCAAGAGGTCAGTCGAGCAGCAGGCAATGATTTTGAACTGATGTGTATAGTCGCTTTTGCCTCCTATACCTGAAAACTTGTTCGCCTTTCACAGAAACATCGCAAAATACTGCCATAATTATTGCTGTTATTCTGGTACGGTGGCAGGTTAATGTGAGTGTGTCGTCCGTTGGCTGGAGCCATTATTGTGTACAAATTTCCGTCATATTCAATAAACAGAACTATAATTTTGAATATTGATAACACTCGTACAAGGTAATGGGTCAATTGATAATTATTGACGGTTCCCATCATTATTGGCCGTTAAGCACAGCTATAATATCATCGATACGTCGCATTATTCCCTCGTTGCCGCGCACATGGGCAAGGAAGCATATTTCCCCGCGCACTAAATGCGGAACCGATCCACCGTTCGCTTGTAGGTGTCACTTGTGCTTTACAGCATTCAGGAGAATAATATTTGTTCATATATTAAAAATAAAAATCGTACCACAGGTACGATCAAATTTCGATTATGGAGCCTGAACTCCTGGAGGTGGAGGAGCAGCGGCGGCTGCTGGGGCTTTTGCACGTGTCTGGTGTCCGCACCTACGGTTCAGGCGTCACGCGCATCATGGTCCACTCGTGAGGATGTGTGGGGTTGGGTCGGCTGTAATGGGAGATGGTGTGGAGTTTGGACAGCTATAGTTGAGATGGTGTGGAGTTTGGACAGCTATAGTTGAGATGGTGTGGAGTTTGGACAGCTATAGTGGAGATGGTGATTGGTGTGGGGTTAGACTGGCTTTAGTGTGAGATGGTGTGGGGTTAGACCGGCTTTAGTGAGAGATGGTATGCGGTTTGACCAGCTGTAGTGGGAGATTGTATGGGGTTTGGACGGCTGTGATGAGAGATGGTGTGGGGTTATAACGGCTGTAGTGGGAGATGGTTGATAATTGAAGACACTTCGGAGACAATGAGCAAGGTAAAGAGTACCTTCCACTATTTACCTCTGTGTCGCAGTTATGTTTATTTCTTATTTGCAGATACGATGACGAGGCGAATCTTTTGATTACTGATGAACCTCCTCCTGCCCGCGACTTGGACCAATCGATCAAGAACGATGGATGCTGCGTTTGTTAGAGGCTCCTCCATTGCTGCTCAGTTTTTCTTACTTTTTACTTTTTTACTTTTTACTTATTTTTTTACTCCCGATGACATTTTTCCGGCTTCGTTAGAATTATTTAGCTGCTAAAAATGTTATTTCTGCGGCTTTGATGTTCTCTCCGCGTTTTCAACGATAAATGAAATGAGATTCTAAGTTTTTTTTCCCTACATTGCCAAACAGAGTGAATTGATCCGAGTAATTCTCAAAACAAATCTAAGTTTTATGTCATATGAGTATAGACAAATGTAAGTCAAATGTTAATTCAGTAGAGTTGGCACTAAAGAGTAGAGCGGTTCGTAGTTTATTCAAACAACCGAGGAGGATCAAGCTGAGACATATAGACTGACGTAATATAGATTACGTCTAACAAGCAAATTATGAGGAGCGCAAATTATACTGAATTATTGATCAGTATATAAATACTGAATTCAGTCCTTTGAAATGCGTGTTAGCTACAAGTTGCGGTCAGAGGAACTATTTGTGATTAAGGTTAGTAAAACCGCCGCCGATCGAGGCAAGCATAGCTTTCGCAGTTATATTTTATTTGGATCATGAACTTCAGATGTGAAAGCGCAAACTTTATTTTTAACTAACTCGCAATGTAAATAAAGCTGAAATGAACAGATTCATCGCGTCCGAAAAATAGAACGTCTAGTAAATATTTATATTAAATCATCCTTTGATCGTCACCATACCAAAATAAAACTATAGTTAGCAAAACGTTTGATTTTTCATTTAGGGAAACGGAAAAAATGCTGTAAAATCGTGTCCCTCGCGCCGGCAACGCTAGGTAACGAAAACTCAATTATATTGTCGCCACAACAATAAATCGAACGAAGGAGGCGCGTGTGGTTGGTCCAGGTATTCATTAAGGCATAGAGCACTGGCGGCCGACATTCGTTTCTAAAGCAGATACTTGAAAATAGTTTGAGTAATCTGTACATTATAAATTAACTGTGAATAATTTGATCGAGAACAATCAATTGTCAAATAAATGGATAGTTGCGGCTGCCCTGACGGAAGCAACCAGTCCAACGCTCACAAAACACAACACAAATTCCTGGAAGTGCAACATCAACTTCTGACGGCAGCGCATTAGCTGAGGTACGACACAATTCCAGAAGAATACCGAAGAGCTGAAAGTCAGCGCACTGGAGTCCTCAGCTCAGTCAACGTCAGCCGTCAGGACTGCAGGATCAGCTCCACAAGGACATCATGACGTCACACGTCGGAGGCTCTCGCCGCCTGCGCGCGAACAGGTCCATCTTACCGGCTATTGAAGTCCTTCAGTTCGGCGGGTCTACGGAGGGCTCGTCATCAAATAATTTTATTGTATGATTTAGAATAAGATATGATACATCAACAGGAAATTCAGGAAAAGATAAGTGTCGAGTTGAACAAAAGTTTGTTGTTTGGCTTCTTTAAACGTTCTTATGAGAAGACTACGATAAAGGTTAGGAAGTGTATACATTTATAACAAGTTTTTGTTCTAGACTTCAAACTCCGGCGCGGTGATAATTAATCGGCGAATGAAAATATCGTAGAGTTAACCCACCACAATCTCTAATAGAACGGTTAATTTGTTCACAAAAAACTATTCCTTCCCTAATGACTACATCATTTAATAATAAAACGGTTGCAGCGTTTATTAGGCCGTAGGCCTATCGCCGATTCTTAACATCTCAGAACATTCACAGCTTGTTGCGGTGTCGAACACGCAACTAGTTGCTCCAATTTTAAATTGCTTAATTAACCGCCCGGCCTCCTCGTCGATTCTGACCAGAAACTGTCGTACACGGTACAGAGCTGGGATCGAACCCGCGCTACTCGATTCTGTCGGTTCCAATCCAAATACTCTGAACTTTAGCTACTGAAAAATTGCATAAGTAACATTTAGTTAAAAGTGAGAGGCAGGAAGTAGTCCTGTGCTCGTTACATGGAGGCTATGACGTGAACTTGCTACGTCCTGTACAATTCTTTACATCGCCTGTATCGCCAGCGCCTGTATCGCAATCGCCTGTATCACCAGCGCTTGCATCACGCCGCATCAAACACTCTATTAAAGTTCAATAATATTGCTCAATAGGACAATAGCTAACATAGTAATAATTAAAACATTGTCGTCTGACAGTCGTGGAGAGTAAACAATGTTTGCACGCGGTCAAGCCTGCGCGCTGCCACTCACATAACTTTAGTTTTTTAGAGACTTTAGTAGATCGGAAGAAAATCACAAACAGCCTGGGTGACAACCACTCCCAGACTGCGTTCATTACCGGGCGCTCAACATGGCGATTGTATTCTCGCAGCTTTTTTGCTTCTTCCTCTGAGTGCCTTGAGGTGACCATCAGCGTCCATTGACTCTTAAAAAATAATTGTGTGTGTAAAAAAAATTTGATAATATTGAAATATACCATTATCTTGTGAATATGAATACCAAGCTTGTATAGCGTAACAAATCCTGTAACGCACGACATTATACCCAATGCTACCGATGAGACGACTGAGCTGCTCATAGATGAACGGACTGCATCAAGCCTCCTTCTCTCACAGCATTATGATGGCTGTGGACCAAATCCTCGCACATCTGCAGTCCATCGATGACGAGGTCTTCGAGGCCGAGTGGCCGGAGTTGCAGAACGCCATGTATCACGCACGCGCCTCCGCACGGGACTGGCAGGATGCGATGCTGTGCCGTCCATGGGAAGCGCGGCTCGCTATCAAAGCCGCGAAATTCACCGGCAGAGAGTTCATGATAAAGACCGGTGAGATGCGGGTGTCATTTAGCATAAGATAAGTCAGACAAGAGTAAGCTAACTTAGAAATGTGAGTCAGCTGACCATCATTCTTCGTAAAATTAATTTGGTTTCTTCCTAATCAATAATCACAATCAGTGCGTAAAGAGACCAGTTTTTATTAATTATTAACTTATTTTTCTTTACTCAGCTTCGCGTTTGTTTGTTGTTAAAATTGACAACGAAATTCAGCCCACTTCTTATTGCTCTAGAGGTCTGAAATTCGGCATGCAGGCTATTTTCGCCTAACAATTTCAGATGCAATCATAAAAACTAGCAACTAGAGACCTAAATTAGCTTAATTGATTAAGTTGTATATATTATATATATATAGTATTACCTGCGGGCACTCACGTTATAGACGAGCACTCGCTGACGCTGCGTATCGTGGATACGTACGTCAAGTCATACTTGATCAAGTCATTAGATGTAGTAGAATAATATACGTTTAAAAATTACTTTTTAAAGACAACACTTCCAACTAATCCAGTGTCTCCAATCTTACCGATGTACAATGAATTTCTCATCTAATTTTCGAAAATTAAAGAAATTAAGTTTTCATTTTCCTAATATATATAATTTTTTTAATATGTAAAATTTTTTTCAAAATTATTTATTCTGTTAATTGATTCATGCATTGCCTCTGATTTCACACAAGTGTGCAAAATTTCAGATAAATTAGACAGGTAAAAGTGTGTCAAATATCAGTTATAAGATTTGGAGCTGACAAAATTATTTTTTTCAATTTTTTTAATTTTGAAAAAAAAAATTTTTTAATTTTTAAAATAATTTATTTTGACATTTGATTCATGCATTGTCTCCAACTTTACACGAGTGTACAAAATTTCAGATCGATAGGATAAGTAGAAGTGTAGCTATTACATTTCGATTACAAGATTTATATTTTATAGCATACAGACAGACAGACAAACAAACAAACAGACAAACAGTTGTAAAATATAGTAGCAACGGACTAAAAAGTAGAAAATAAAATACTTAAAGTATTTAAAGTATATAAAAGCTAAGTTAAGAAAAACGTGTTAATAATAAAATAATAAAATACTTAAAAAACTTTTTAAAAAACCACGTTTTTCTTGTGGACTAAAAAGTAGAAAATAAAATACTTTAAAAAAACTTTTTAAAAAACCACGTTTTTCTTGTGGACTAAAAAGTAGAAAATAAATTATGGCTCGCCCCAAAAAACGTGGGTTGGGCTGTACGTTCACCATCAAATTTCCAAAATTCGTGTGTTGTGTGCTTTTCGCTATTCACTGAAGTAACAAGAAATTTTGCAATGTGTTGACTCATTTTAACGCAGCTCGACGTGTCGCTTCATTGTTCCTTTATTTTAATTTTATTTGCTAGTATGAGCCCAGAATGAACCAGATGGCAGGACCTTTGTTTATCGGCAGTATCAAAAGTTTAGGTCTTGGCTTCACCCTCTTCAGCTATCAGCACCGCTGCTGGAGGAACGTTTTGATGCCGCAGCATTTCAGCGCGCGGTACCAATGCGACGGAGTTACAATGCTCGCATGCTTTTTCGTGTTTTAGTGCAAAATCTAAAATATAATAAACTTCTTGCAGGTCACGAATCACAGTTTTCCGTGGCTGCCTGAACAGCGCTCAAGGCGTCGAGGCTCTGGCAGCCGTCGTGGCCCAGCAGCCGTCCTCTTTGATGTCCCCCTTCATTGAGATTCGCCTCAAGGCTCCGCTGGACCTCAGGCCCCTGCGCGTCATCAAATGTCTCAGTCAGTATTATCAGCGGGGATATCAGTGTCATTAGAAATATTTAAAACGACGTGTGCAGCTCTGAGTCAGTTATGGGTCTCGTTGGAATTTAGCAACTTAGTACATTTTTAATAATTTTACGTTTTTAAATTCTCATTCGTGAGATAATGCTTAAATGATACCGTAATTCATTTCTTAAGGTTTCAGCGTCCATAAGGCCGTTCGACCTTTCGCCGATTCTTAACACCGCAGAACATTTATGGCTTGTGTCGGTTTCGAACACTCAACTCACTACCTCCAATATGCTGTGCTCAACCTCCCGGCCTCTTCGCCGATTCTGACCAGAAACTTGCGCACAGAGCTGGGATTGAACCCGCAGCTTTCTGCACCAATCCTGATACTCTGAACTGTAGCCACTGGTATAATTAAATGTTTCATTTAAACATAAAAAATGTTCATTTCTTTGCAAGTACTCGATATTTACTACAAATTTCTACTTGAAAAATTTGTGCACCAATGTTTGAGATTGACGACTAAACTCCATTGTAGTTTTTTTTTTTTTGCGGTGCCGCTAAGAAAGAGTGGTGGCACAGAGTGGCTAGTAAAAGGAAGGAGAAATGTTAGGTAAAGACAGTAGGAGATGAAAAATTTGCTTTGTGAATAATATGGTGGTTAATAGGTTAGTGGGGTTTGTTTGGGGTTGTAGGGAGGACCCGTCTGGGCTTTGGATGCCTTAAGCGGGGGAGTGATGAGGAGGTGGTGGTTCTTTACTTATATTATTTACACTTTTCAGCATGTTAAACAAAAATATAAATGACGTGCTCTTACCATTTTCGTGCGTATTCCCTTTATTTTTTTTGCTCCTTTTTTATTTCTTCATTTCAAAGAGAAATGATGCCGATGAAGGTGATAATTCTGCTGATAATGAGGATGGTGAGTCGAGATAGTGAGTTGCGTCATGTATTGCTAGGTTTTCGGTAGGTCATTGGTCTCGTCTATACTGTGAGTCACACTCGGTGAGTTGCGTCAGTCCGTCAGCGTGGTAGTGTATTGGATGATGTGGGTAGTTTCGAACCAGCTAGCTATACCCAAACGCCGCGATGGGAACAACTGCCGTCCGGGTGCAGCATGGTCAACTGTATTTATTTGTACAGAGGTGATGTGGGGAAACTATTGCTTGTAATTTGGAGCCTTTGAATAACCGGTGTTACCTTGCTATTGCGTCTAGGTAGGATTGTGAATTGATTGAATAGTTGGGGATTATATGTTTTGATGGTGGACCAAGTTTCGCGTTGTAACACATCCATGCGACAACATTTCTTCTCGCTTCGAGTCACCGACATGTGGAACAGCCTCCCTGATAGCATCGTTGACGCTCCGAGTATGAACGCCTTCAAGAACAGACTAGACGAAGCTATGCAATAGCATATGTTCAGTCTTGAAATGTCTAGCACCTTAAGAACCAGGCAATAAGTCCAGCAGCTATCTCAAACAATCAGATATGGAAAGATCGGGTTCAGAAGGCCGGATCTCTTGTGGAATCAAGTCACAGTGCCGACAAAGCTATTCTATTCTATTTCGCCTAGTGATGGGCATGATTTTAAATTTGTTTGTGTTTATCCTAATGAGTCATTTATTTTCGAAGGTGTTGATCTGTTGTATGGCGTGTTGTGTTTGTACTGCGGCGTGGTTGTGTGGGTAATGTACTCTGGTTATTTGTGTTATGTCATCTGCAAAAGCTATGTAGTCTGTGTTGGGTAGTGGTGGTGGGAGGTCGTGGGTGTAGAAGTTGTTTAGTGTGAGGGAGAGACAGGCCCCTTGGGGGACACCTGTGTGGAGTTGTATTGGAAGACCTATGTGATAACCTATTCTTATGGATGCTGTGCTATCTCTGAGGTAGTCTGAGAGTGTTTTAGGTGAAGGACGGGTGGAGGTTGAGTTGGATGATCTTGTATTGGAGTCCCGTGTGTAAAAAAAAAATCATCTTATGTACTGTGCATTTATCTGGCTTGACGATAAGCCAAATTGAACACGTTATATTTTTTCACTCTGTTTGAATATTTTGACACTTTTCTTTTCCTGTGTTTGATTACTTGACACTTTTTCTTTTTTTAACACAGTGTGACACTTCTTCCCCTTCGCTCAACATGAGCAAGCCACGGAAACGGGTCATCTTCGTTTTGCTTATTTTTGTACATGTCTGCATATTGCATTAATCTAACATTTCGGGTTTGATCACTTGTTGCGGCTGAGCAGATAGCTATTGGTCCGAATAAGGGACTCTAGTACTACCTTAGTTGAAATTTTATTTCGTTGCTTGTTTTTCACATAGGTGACTTGTGAAAACACTCGCTCCACGAATGGATGATGATTTTCAAGATCAGTGAAATATTGAATGGCACCCCAGAATTTAAAACCACCAAACAGAAACGGTGGAGCTTGCGTCGCAGAGATCGGTTCGACAACCTCACTCGTCCTAGGCCATGTCATCACTGATCAGTAATCAATCAAGGATCATTACTCTCGTGTTTGTACTGCACTAAGCACTTTTGTTAAATGTTAACATTTAGATTGGGGTTATTTCATCAAGCGGTAAACTTGCGGTTCTAAAAATGGCGGGAAACCTCTAGTCGCGCCGCTCTGAAGGTCATCTATATAATCTACGTCTACGCTGGAGGAAGTTCAAACTTCAGAGGTGGAACTTAATGCAGTAAATTTGCAGTATGTCATTAAATACCAGATTTAGGCAAATGTACAAGATCTAAAATTTATACCAGACACCTTCTGAAAATACCAGATTAGTGAAATCTGGTATAGAAATATACCATCTGGCAACGCTGCCTTGGATGCCGCAACCTACCTAACGCAATGGCGCGAGGCGCAGATGCCAAGCGCTGCTATATTTGTCCCCTAAGGCCTAAAATAGCGAGTGCAGATGCCAAGCGCTGCTACATTAGTTCCCTAAATTGGCGCGCGCAGATGCTTTTTCAGATGCAACATCACTATGGGCGCGATCTATCAATCTGAGGACGATGTGAATCTTAATATAGCTTAATAACTGCTGTTACCTACTGTAAAGGAACGATGGAAAGCTATCCAAGACCACGCGTTATTGTAAACTGAAACAATTCGTTACAGTTCTATGCCTGCGAGACCACGATTGTAGTAACGTATGTCCATGCCCGACAAATAACCCGTGTGAACGCATGACGTCATCGAACATTTGCCAGTGCATAATGTCTTTGACTTACGTTTCTTTTTCCAGAGCACTTCATTTAGAATTTTAGATAGCCAAGAATGAAGTCAGTTAGGGCCGCAATAGGGCGGCTAATAGGGCGATATGAACGTCTCAGCTCTGACGACTCTGACGTCTCGGACCAGGAGACGCCTGAGCCTGAGACGGAAGACGTGTGGCATGTGAACACCGGTGAGTCAATGCTCTCAAAATATATGCATTGACATCCTTAACGTCTGTTAAATTTTGCGAAAATTTGTTTATGTGTTTGATTAAATCAGCCTTGTTGACTTGATAAAAAAAAGTCTTTTTTTTACCTCTTCTTACTCACAGGCTTCACATGGGCTTCACTATGGCTTTACTGTATCATCTCTGCCTTCAACACTTTCTCGATCATCCCTCACTCTACTTATCGTTCATTTCGAATGTCATCTCTCTCCTACTCCAATTTTTCTTTATTTCCTTATCACGCCATATCAGACAAGTATCCTCATCATTCATCCGCAGCTGGCGACGTGGCAGAAGTCGCGCGGAAGCTGCTACACCAGCGGCCTCGAGCTATCTACGCCAGACTGCCAGTGTCGGAGCTGCGCGCTGCTGGCGCCAGCTGGTCTGACCTGGCTCGGCTGCACGTGGGGCAACTGCAGCTGGTGACCCGTGTAGCCGGGCCTCCAAGCCGCGAGCCCTGCGACGACATGCTGCAGTGCCTTCATGGCTCCGGGTCAGTGATATTTACCTAAATTGTGGTCAGAATGTTTGCTCATCTTGAGCCTCAAGAGATCCAGGTCCATACACTTGTCCCTCTAGTGGTCATTATTTTTACCCTCCTGTTACCACGCGCCGCCCACATGTTGCCACCCGCTACTCACCTGTTGCAACTCACTGCTACTCACCACCTGTTTCCGCCCGCCACTCACCTGTTGCCACTCACTGCTACTCACCACCTGTTGCCGCCCGCCACTCACCTGTGCCACACACCTACCACCTATATATATTGTCACCCGCCGCCCACCTGTTGCCACCCGTCGCCCACCTGTTGCCACGCGCCGCCCACCTGCTGCCACCCGCTACTCACCTGTTGCAGCTCACCACCTGTTGCCACCCGTTGCCCACCTGTTGCAGCTCACCTACCACCTGTTGCCACTCACCTACCACCTGTTTACACCCGCCACCCAGCTGTTGCTACTCACCTACCATCTCTTGCCACCCGCCGCCCACCTCTTGCCATCAACCTACCACATGTTGCCACCCGGCATCCACCTGTTGCCACTCACCTATCCCTGTCTCTTATACACATCTAGATGTGTATAAGAGACAGCCTTAGATGTGATTTTATTACCCTTTGATTATTTCCAGTCTTTCATTCTTTCCCAGAGTTGGCAACAATAATACCCGATTTGCATATACCAGGTTGTCTCCACAAACATTATCCATTTAACCATGATTTACTCTGAAAATCGTTACTTGTACTGTATTTCTTCATTACTTTAGAAAATTGCTCGAAAATGATATGTGTGCGCGAATAAGATATTTCATAATAATTAAGTTGCCATTACTATTGGAAATGGATGCTCCTGACTCAGGAATACTCTTTGTCTTGTTCGCCAGTTGAAGCCCATGCAGTCTTTCAGAATNCATGTAAATATGTAAATAGAGAACCCCACCCTCCCATCACCCGCCTTTCTGCATCCAATGCCCTGACGGGTTCCCAACCCCTTCCCCGACCCCAAACAAAACCCAATCACCTACAACCGACCAAAGCATGCGCAATTCGCCTTTCATCTCCTATCTAGGTTTTTTTTTCAATTACTCCTTCCTTTTTCTGACCACACCCTGCTCCACCTCTTGTTCTCTTCCACTCTTTCCTAGTAGCAACGTATAAACAACAAAAATGCTACGTAGACATTCAGCACGAACCCGTAATCGTTGTTCACCTGATACGAGGATGCCGTCGTTCAGTTGAAGGATGAAGCTGCTGGGCATATGCGCACCTCGTGTCATCATAAGTGAAAAAGTTCTCACATAATAAAATTTGTTCTTCAACTTGCAGTCGTGGACATTTGGCCGCTGGATCCCGCCTGGGCTTTGCTTCTACCGAGCCCGCCACCGCCGTTTCAGGAGGGGCACGACGCTGAGGTAGAGACCAGCGAGGCCGGGCACCTACCATCACTGCCCCCACCGAGGCTGATCATGTGGGACGTCGAACCCGGCAGCCGTGAGGCCATCGTCCGGGTCATCCGCACAGTTGCTCCCGACACCAAAAGGTTATTAACTTCCTGCAAGCGCGATGGAAAGATATGCAAAAGGTTTTATTTACATCACTTTATTTCTTAGGAGCAATGAAAATGCTACAAAGTTCATAAGTAATTAAATAATTAGTAGTTAGTTATAATAATAATTAATAATGATAATAATTAAAATAATTGATTAGTTAGTAATAACAAATAATAAAGAAATTAATTAAATAAATTAATTTTAATTAGCACTTAAATAATAAGATTATCTTGGTGTTTCATGTTAACTTTTAAACTTCAGCTTCAACTTCAAATGTTTTGAAGCGCAACCTCCATCGAATTTTACTAAACTTATTCATATTCAAACAGAAACCTGGCGTCAATACCGCCTTGGGTTATTATCCTCTTGGAAATGTTTATAAGTAGGCTTGTCTGCTTGTGCTATCATGCAATCCTCCACATTCCACTTGTGTTGTCTGATTATGGTTATAATCTAGAATTTTCTAACTGACGATGGTGCATGACAATTTTATTGTCTTTGATCGTCTGCTTTTTGGTTACGAGGGATGCTCGGCGCAGGTGTGCAAATCCAGGGACAGATAGGACTGGGTTTATTGGATGCTCCTGCACTCATCTGTTTGTCCGTGTGCAGACTGGGCGGCATACGGCTGCCGGACTGCGGGTTGGGAGACGACGAACTGCGGCAACTGCTGGAGGAACTACACCAAAGTGGCATCAGAACTCACGATGCCGACCGCACGCTTTGCAAAAGAGAAGCGTGAGTCTCAATATAGCCGCTCGAGTATCGTGTAGTTCATCAATATGTAGAGGAATTCATTCATTGAATGATTACTTCATTTTACTAATTTATTAGTATTGTTTAACATTATTGAAATTTATAGAGTTAACTCACCATTGATAATAGTTTTTTTCAAATTATTATTGAAAATAGATGCCCTAAATTGATCCAAACTCAGAGTGATTATTCTGGGCAGCGATGGCCAAGTGTGGCTTCGCCTGACAGACGCTCCCCCTGGTGTGGGACGGCAGAGGTGGGTCACCCTGACTTGGCTGGTTGAGCAACCTTTGTGATTTTAAGCGTACTTTGTGAGTGACTTGGGTTGCTTTGAGTTCTCTGGTGGTCTTACCGAGGTGAACGTCATGGTCATTGTACAAGCAGTGGCGATGATACTAACTTCACGTGGTAACTTTAATATCTAACTACAGTGGGTGAGTGACTCAAAATTTAGTGAGGCATCCAGAATAGTTACAGGGGGTGATCGTAACACCACTGGGTGAGTGGCATGAGGATCCTGACTAGATTTGGTGAGTGACCTTTTTGATCCCAATGAGTGTACGAGTGGCCTGGATGACATCAACTTCCATGTTTAGGTGATCTGTGTAACCATGGATTTGCTGGCCTAAAGGCTTGGATGACTTCCTAATGAGACTGCCTCGACGACCTTGGACCCTACTTTTCTGGGTGAGGGGCATGATTGACTGACTACAATGGTGGAAAGTCCTTGTTGACTTAGTAAGTGGGTTAGTAATTAGTTTAGGTAAGCGCAAATAGCCTGGGTGACAACCAATAATTGATAATATTGAAATATACCATTATCTTGTGAATATGAATACCCAGCTTGTATAGCGTAACAAATCCTGTAACGCACGACATTATACCCAATGCTACCGATGAGACGACTGAGCTGCTCATAGATGAACGGACTGCATCAAGCCTCCTTCTCTCACAGCATTACGATGGCTGTGGACCAAATCCTCGCACATCTGCAGTCCATCGATGACGAGGTCTTCGAGGCCGAGTGGCCGGAGTTGCAGAACGCCATGTATCACGCACGCGCCTCCGCACGGGACTGGCAGGATGCGATGCTGTGCCGTCCATGGGAAGCGCGGCTCGCTATCAAAGCCGCGAAATTCACCGGCAGAGAGTTCATGATAAAGACCGGTGAGATGCGGGTGTCATTTAGCATAAGATAAGTCAGACAAGAGTAAGCTAACTTAGAAATGTGAGTCAGCTGACCATCATTCCTCGTAAAATTAATTTGGTTTCTTCCTAATCAATAATCACAATCAGTGCGTAAAGAGACCAGTTTTTATTAATTATTAACTTATTTTTCTTTACTCAGCTTCGCGTTTGTTTGTTGTTAAAATTGACAACGAAATTCAGCCCACTTCTTATTGCTCTAGAGGTCTGAAATTCGGCATGCAGGCTATTTTCGCCTAACAATTTCATATGCAATCATAAAAACTAGCAATTAGAGACCTAAATTAGCTTAATTGAGTAAAGTATATATATATAGTATATATATAGTATGACGTGCGGGCGCTGACGTTATAGACGAGCAGGCGCTGACGCTGCGTATCATCGATACGTACGTCAAGTCATGCTTAATCAAGTCTTAATCGTTTTTCTTGTGGACTAAAAAGTAGAAAATAAAATACTTAAAAAAACTTTTTAAAAAAACACGTTTTTCTTGTGGACTAAAAAGTAGAAAATAAATTATGGTTCGCCCCAAAAAAACGTGGGTCGGGCTGTACGTTCACCATCAAATTTCCAAAATTTAAGTGTTGTGTGCTTTTCGCTTTAATCATAAATCTGCCCGACACACGTTTTTTGGGGCGAGCCATAATTTATTTTCTACTTTTTAGTCCACAAGAAAAACGTGTTTTTTAAAGTTTTTTTTAAGTATTTTATTAATTGATCTAATAGAAACCGCAACTTCATTCTAGTGTGTTTCCCACAGGCCGTGACCTAGCAGCGGTGGCGCTCATGCTGCCGCACAATGGAAAACTGAACGTGACTGTGAATTCGTCATTGGAAGTCCTAGATTCACCCGCGTGGCAGCAGATTGCATTGCACCACCATGGGGAGTTGAATCTCAAATTTCCATTTTTTGACGATTATTGCGGTCATCCCGACCCCTGCGACGACCTCCTCCCGCCACTGGTCGGCAGCAGGTGGGTGTCAACTCTTCCCTTTCCTGTCCTGCCTGATAACTGTTTAGAGCAGTGGTTCCCAATGTGGGCGATATCGCCCCCCTAGGGGCGATGGAAAGATTTTGGGGGGCGGTAAGGAAGAAGAGGGCGTTTGGGGGGCGATAGGGGGGCGTTAGTCCGAAGTCGAATCAGAAGTTCGAACGTTTGTTTGATGATTTGTACACAACACGTGGAGCACATGACTCCCAGCGATGGTTTTTTCACCCAGATCTGCTTTTTTAACCTCTCCTGGGTTTACGTCTCGGACAAATTAACGGCCGGGCTCGCGGCCGATCTCACGGTCAATTTCCAATTCAATGTTCAAGTAATATCTCTCAAACTAATGAACTTAACTCAATGAAACTTAGTACACGTATTCATTAAGACCTAACGGTAATGTTAAGCTCGTGAATTTTTTTTTTAATTTTGCCTTCATTTGTTTTTGCCATAGTTATATGGCAATACGGGCCGAAATTCACAGTACCGGGTAATCAAGAAATTTTTCCCAACTATTGAGCAGATTCGAACGAAATTTTGAATTTACAGTCCTAACTAACGAACGTTAATGTTTAGCTCAAAAAAATGTATTCGATTGTGCCTTTGTTAGTGAGTTTTTTCCATTTCACCTTCATTCGTGATTTAAACAGCAATACGTGCTTAAATTCGCAGTAATCAAGAAATTCCTTCCAAAACTACTGAATGGATTTAAACGAAACTTAGTATTTAAATACCTAATCTCAGCAACGATGCGTCAGTCCGTCAGCGTGGTAGTGTATTGGATGATGTGGGTAGTTTCGAACCAGCTAGCTATACCCAAACGCCGCGATGGGAACAACTGCCGTCCGGGTGCAGCATGGTCAACTGCATTTATTTGTACAGAGGTGATTGGGGAACCTATTGCTTGTAATTTGGAGCCTTTGAATAACCGGTGTTACCTTGCTATTACGTCTAGGTAGGATTGTGAATTGATTGAATAGTTGGGGATTATATGTTTTGATGGTGGACCAAGTTTCGCGTTGTAACACATCCATGCGACAACATTTCTTCTCGCTTCGAGTCACCGACATGTGGAACAGCCTCCCTGATAGCATCGTTGACGCTCCGAGACTCCGAGTATGAACGCCTTCAAGAACAAACTAGACGAAGCTACGCAAGAGCATATGTTCAGTCTTGAAATGCCTAGCACCTTAAGAACCAGGCAATAAGTCCAGCAGCTATCTCAAACAATCAGATATGGAAAGATCGGGTTAAGGAGGCCGGATCTCTTGTGGAATCAAGTCACGAAAAGTACAAGAATCGGCAACAGGCCAGGGGCCTATATCTTCAGTGCCGACAAAGCTATTCTATTCTATAAAGATGTTGGAAGTATTTCGCCCAGTGATGGGCATGATTTTAAATTTGTTTGCGTTTATCCTAATGAGCCATTTATTTTCGAAGGTGTTGATCTGTTGTATGGAGTGTTGTGTTTGTACTGCGGCGTGGTTGTGTGGGTAATGTACTCTAGTTATTTGTGTTATGTCATCTGTAAAAGCTATGTAGTCTGTGTTGGGTAGTGGTGGTGGGAGGTCGTGGGTGTAGAAGTTGTTTAGTGTGAGGGAGAGACAGGCCCCTTGGGGGACACCTGTGTGGAGTTGTATTGGAAGACCTATGTGATAACCTATTCTTATGGATGCTGTGCTATCTCTGAGGTAGTCTGAGAGTGTTTTAGGTGAAGGACGGGTGGAGGTTGAGTTGGATGATCTTGTATTGGAGTCCCGTGTGTTAAAGCTTGTCAAAGGCTTTGGTCATATCGCGGAGGGCTATGTCAGTGGTGTGTTTTTTGCTAAGTGTATGGCTAGTGTTTCGTCGAATGTGGCTAGTGCTGTGTGTGTCCCTCTATCTTCCCTAAAACCGTGTTGTCTAGTGTTGTGTATGTTGTTGATGGAAAGGTGTTCTTATAATCTATTGTTGAGTATTTTGTCCAGAAGCATCCCTTGGATGTCTAGTAGTGAGATGGGTCTGTAATTTTGGACTTGGCGTTGTGAGGTATTGGGTCATGGCGTGGCGTATTTTAGTGAATCTGGGAAATAACGGCGGAAATGGCATGATTGAATAAATGAATATGCATAGTAGTAGACAATGGATCATGTTTTTGGGTAGGTGTTTGAGTTGGAGCGTTGTGTTGCCTGTGGGACCAGGTACTTTCTGTTTGAATGTTTTTAGTGTGCGTTGTAATTCTCTAATGGTGATGAGTGGGAAGTTTACTGGGTGGAGTCGGGAGAGGTCTCCGTGATTATATGGGTGAATTAGGTGCATGTTGTTTCTGACGTAGTCCAATATTGTGTGGATGTGTTCTATGTCAAAGTCTTCATTGTCTGTGTCATCCTGAGTGAATATGTCCTGCCAGTGTTTGCGGAAGATGGGTTCTTTCTGTTCGGGTGTGTCATGTTGTACTCGTATGTTGTTGTGTTTGAGGTAAGGGACAGTTTGCTTGGTGTTGGAACATAGCATGCGTTTTAGGGAAGACAAAAATTTTTTGGGATCTTCTTGTTTTTCCAGAGTGTTGATGAGGTCCTGATGATGATGACTTGATGAGTTGTCAGTTGAGTGCTAGCGATGGGCTGTGAGCGTTGATGCATGGAAGAGTGGCTTATTATTGTGTTTGTATGGGTATCGTTTCGTGGGTGGGTTTGATGCCGGGAATAATGCGATTGGATATGGTTGTGATAGAGGTGTCGGTGGCGTTCTGTATGTTTTTTTTCAGTTGTCTAAATGTGTGTCTATTTCTTCTAAGGTAGGGTCTGGTTGCGTGGGTACTGTGTACTGTCATAATGTTTGTCGGTATTGGGTCCAGTTTGTCTATATATGGAAGGATCTTCGTGAGCGAATGAGAATTTGTATGGGGTTAGCAGAAATTGGGGCTATTATTGGAATGTGGTCTGACGGTGTGATGGGACCTGGTTGTAGGTGTATTATTATTATACTACGAAGTATTTATCGTAGCGTCTGGTTTAACTTCTAGGGCACGTCACACACAAGATTAATAGCAAGCGAAAAATAAATTGACCAGAGAAAGAATGTGAACGGATAAAATGACTAAGCACTTGATTCATAGGCTTTACGAAATAGTTCCTCCGTCTTTAAGCGTCGACGAAACTTCCGCAACGAAGAAGCCGAAGTTACGGAAGCCTGCAGACTGTTCCAGGTTCTAGCAGCGTCGACCGGGAAGGCTCTGTCGTCGACTCTAGACAGACGTGTAGATGGTACGGCGACGTCCGCTGTTGATGACGAGCGCAGTCTTCTTCTAGAAGGCAGATCCGATACGCGCTGCAGACATTCCGTGAGATAATGAGGCGCCAGACCGTGAAGGCATCGGAAGTCGGAACGTCAGAACAGCACCTTGAACTACGGGCGCTGCTGCATGCGCAGCCAGTGAAAATCGCGCAATTCGTATCGGCATCACATGGTCGAATTTTCGCTTCTTGCACACGAGTCGCGCAGCAGCGTTCATTACGAATTGCTGTTTATTTAGTGCCTTGGAAGTCTATAGAGTGTGACATTACCATAGTCCAATCGGGTCAGAACGAGCGCCACCACGAGCACGGGGTCCTCGAGAGACAGCGGCTTACGCTCCGTATTTGTCGCAGAGCGCCAAAGCAAGCTGTGGTGACTTTGGCAATTTGATTGTTTACTTCTTCTTATTTGAAACTTCTGAGTTCAGTAGAATGCCGAGGTTACGAACCGATGCCACGGGCATGACGAACTCGTTGCCCAATCGAACAGGGTGAGCCGTAAGCTGATGCCAGCGCCGAGTAGTCGCAAATCAAATAAAGTCAGTTTTTAATGCATCGAGCTGGAGGCAGTTGGAGCGCATCCAGTCAGAGACGGCGTCCTGCAGAAAGACATCCGATCCTGCAATGCTGCAGCGTCAGCCGGTGCACTGTAGCCATAAATTTGGGTGTCGTCGACGAACATATGCGGATTCAAACTATAAATCAATAATGTGCAATACGTCGACAGTATATAACAGGATGAGGATCGGGCTGAGAACTGATTCCCGGGGTACGCCGTACGTGACCAACTATGGCGTAGAAGAAGAGTTCCTGCGTCGAACGTATTGGAATCTTTTGCTGAGATGGGACTCTATCCACAGCGATAGCAGCACTGTGCCGCGCAAGCCGAATGATACGTAAAATCGACCCAATAAAGTGGCGTGGTCGAACGTGTCAACGCGGCCGATAGGTCGAGTGAAGCAAGTGCCGCAATGTCGTCACAGTCTACTGCTCGCAGGATGTCTGAAAGCACCTTCAGCTCAGCGGTTTCCGTCGAGTGAAGATGACGGTATGTAGACTGAAGGCGAGGCATGAGACCGGACTGCTGTAGATGGTTGTACAACTGTCGGGCCACAACGCGTTCCAAGATTTTAGACAAAATCGACCTGTTGGAAATATGATTTGGGATCGAAGTCGTCAAGATCTGTCTTTTTTTCAAACGTAAGACATCGCCGTCGAGACCGCGCTACGGCCGACAGATTTTGTACGCTGGTACCGGACGCACACGTGGTACAGTCCTCTGAAGTAGGTCGAAGTATGGTCGGATATTACGATCTCGACTGACAGACTTTGAAGGTCAGCACGCATGATGACAACGTCCAGCAGGCAGCAGTCCGTCCTTGTGCGTCGGCAAGAACACGTGACAAACCATGCCAAAGGTTACCAAGAGTTCGTTCAGCTGAGGAGCCGATGGCTCCTTGACGCGATGCAGTCGAACGTTTAAATCGCCGGTGATAAGGACATGATTGGGGAAAGTCACAGTCTGGTGAAAACATCGCTAAATTGGACGAATAAATCGCGCGACGCAGCAACCGATCCAGGACGATAGATGGTGACTGCAACGCCCGCAAACGAGGCGCAGGTGACCCTAGCTGCATATCACCCTAGCATCTCAAAGGTGGTACCCAATGAAAATTTACAGACGAGTCAGCTTCTGATATGGAGTACCAGAAGCTGGGGCGACTCTAAATTTTGTTAGGCTGGGTCGGACGCCGATGTCAAGAACGGAAGGTGAACGCCACCGCTGGCGACGGTAGCCACTCCACCGTAATTCATCGCCAGTGGGCCGGGTTGCATGCGGAGCCGCGCGCGTTCGACTACCTTGAGTCCTTCAGCGCGAAGACGCGCGATGCAAACCGAGTCAGCATCGTGCCAGGTTTCGGTCAGGAAGGCGACATCTAGTGAGCGACAGATATGAAGGAACTCCTCAACTTTATTATTCAGCAAACGGGTGTATATTGTGGAATGCTTCGTTGTTGGTTGAGAATGTCTGGTGATGTGCTGTTATGTGTGATGAGTGTTGTTAAGTATAGGCCAGTGTGGGTGCACTTGTGTCGGGTTATGAATGAGTGCAATTGTTTGCCTATGTGGTAGGAGGAGGAATCTCCTAATGTGGTATGTCTTGCGTTTAGGTCTACGAGAAAGTATACGGGGTGGGGTCTATTCAGAAGTGTGTGGACGTCAATGTAGTTGATGTAACCTGTGCGGGGTGGGATGTATGTATGTCGTTCCTAATGTGATGGGTCCTTGTTGGGTATCTATTGTGATCGTTAGCGTATCTATATGGAAGTTGTCGTGTAGTTTGTATGGAATATGGCGTTTGATTGCGATGGAAGCACCGGAGTGGATTGAGTTGTCTTCATTACAGGTGTGGACGTTGAAATTGAATATCTCTAGTGGAGAGTTGTCTGTGATGGAGTGATCGTTTGTAACTATGATGTTGGTATCTGTGTTGTACATATTTGATAGTGTAAATTTTTTACTGTGCCAGTGTTGGACATTGCGCTGTATTATCTATAATGTTGGTTGAGGGGTCCCGACTGAGGAGTATGTTTAGATGTGAATTATTCTGTTTTTTTTTTTTGCGGTGGATGTTTTCATGGATATGTGTTTGTGCATGGTAATGAAGGTGTCGTGATGGATGATGTTGATTGTGGGCTCGTTGAATTTGAATTTGCCTCGTCTCAAATAGTCTATATATAATTTTTGAGTAGTCGAGGTCTTTCCCCGAGAGCTTCAGTCCGAATTCGGTCGTTCTCAGTTCGTCGAGGTACCAGCTGCCTTGAGGGACGGTATAGGGATTGGGTTGGGGTCTCTTTTGCTTATAAATAGTCTTACTGCTATTAATTCATCTTGTCCTGGCATTGAAATTGGTGATTCTCGGTATTGTGCGTCACTAATTCTTCGTTTTCTGGGCTCGCTTTCTTCGTAGTGGATTTTGGTTGTCGGGGAAATAGGGACGTTCTGAAGGATCTCGTTATCTGTCTGCCTTTCTGTCAAGTTTAGTGAGGACCGTCTCATCAATAAATTCTGTTTAGAGGTTAAAGTCTATGTCGGGAGTCTTGGTTTCATGTTGGATATAGAAGAAATTGAATATTTTGACGAAGTCTCTATATAATCGGGAAAAGTCGCGTCAACGTCATCTTCAATGATGTTAATAGTATAGTGCCAAAACTCTCCTGTCGGGAGAGGCTGGCGATATGTGCTTCGAGTATATTGCTGTCAGTTGCAGTTGCGTCTTGTCAGTCAGTGTCAAGCTGTGTTGTGGAATTTTTGTTTGATTGCTTGTTTTGCTATGTCGAGATACGTTTGATTTGTTTGTGTGTTCGATGTTTTTTTTGCTGTGCTTGTTGTTTGTTTGTATTTTTTGATTGCGATATAGACAATTGGTGGCTAGTGTGCGGTAGTCGTTGTGGCAGCTGAGACATTTCTTGTAGGTGCTTGTGCATTGGGTTTATGTGTGTGTTTTTTTTTTCAGCAAATTCGGAACAACATGTGCATTGGTGTGTAGGGTGTCTTCTATTAATTAACATTTGTAGCATATGAGTAAGTGTGTATAGTTCTTGTGCCCATTGCGATGGGGTGATTTTGGTGTTGTACATGTAAAATCCATTTGTGAGTATACGTTGGGCTATTGTTGTATCTGTGGAGACTGTTTTGATGACATGGGTGTAATGTTTAATTTTAATGACGTCATGTATATGTGTAACCAAGTCTGTTGAGTCGTAATTTCATGTTTAATTTCGTCGGCGGTGTGTCTTCCAACTTATCTGTCGAGTTTTCGTACGAAAATGGTCCGTTTGGCTCTAATAAAATTAAGTTCGGGGGTATAAGGGGTGTCAGGTTTATTTTCTGGATTGCATCGGTCGCTTTTTTTAAGTCAATTTGTCAATTGCAGTTATAGCGTCGTTGGTCACATAGAAACCAGTGGCAGTGTCAGTCGGATAAGTGGAGCGTCAAGTTACTTCAAGGTTGTCTGGAATATTTTGGGTATAATCCTGCTTGAATCTTCATGGACGTGGTTGCATTTCTTCGGTCTCTTGTGCCATGAATAGTAATAATGCTGGAACTGAGAAAGTTGAAGTACGAATATACCTTCTTGAAATTTGGGTGCAGCTACATTAACTTTATTGGTTTAAAAATTTTCTATAGTTTTCCCATTTAAATAGTTCAAGGCTTCGATTGCTTAGCCACTAGATTAACAGACAAATTTATGATTCTGTTTTTTTTTATAGCGTAACACGTGTGATTTCTCTCATTGAGATAAAAAGTACGGGCCTTAAATAAATTATGGATATCATCCAAAGTATAAGTACATTTTTGTGTTGTAAGCAATTTTGCAATAACGCAGCAGACACCATGATGTCTTTTCACGTTCGTCCACCGTATAACAGCTGCTTGACAATTTGGCACTTTTTAGCCGGATGTCACATTTTGTTATAATCTCTTGCCTTTAGTTGGCATAAGTAGAATTGTTATGCAACTAATTTCTCTAAAATCAAGTCTATGATATCATAAGCTTCAGGTTAATCTTTTAGCACACCTTTTACACACATCATTAGAAATGATGAATAAATTCTAATTAACTGCGTTTAACTTAAATTAATTAACTTACATCATTAGAAATAATGAATAAATTCGAATTAAATTCGAACTGCGGTATGTTTCATGACCAATGACTTCAAAACCACCTCTGTATTCGCGGCAATACAAACACCAACGATGAAAACTATAAAGCATGTGAATGCCGTACGTGTGTTCAATCACTATTGTATGATATCGTCATCTTGTTATATTATCCTATTATTACGTTATATTTCGACCAGAAACGATGTCATTATATATGATAGCGTAAACCTGCTGTCAAATTCAGCGTTTATGTTTATGTCCTACATTGACGTCATCCGCCATGGTGGCTTCGGCCCAGCGAAAGTTTGATCAATATTGATCGACGTACGAACATTTTTGGACTGGTGCGAACGTTATCTGGATGGTTCGTTTAGTCACTTTCAGTCATTTAGACACGCTAGCTGTCCTGTCTATGCTCAACGCACAGACTTCTTTCAGTGCGGTCGGTAGGTATTCTTGGGTCGATTTTTTTCAGTTGGATGCGGTAGATCTGAGTTCTCGAGCGTTCGGACGAGTTTGGTGTTGGGTTGGATGAAGATGGAGAGCGTGACGTGATGAGTGAGACGGGAGTCTGGATCGAGATGATGGTGGGGGGCCTCTGCCTACTGCCCTCTGGGACAAGCCCGTCGGGCTCGAGGCAGAAATACCCTCTGGAGGGGAGGGCATGAGAGTATGAGGAGGGGGGGGGGGCGATAACGCAAATAAATGGTTTGATACAGTCGTTTTTTACAAAATATGGTAGAGAGAGAAGTCACTCTCCCTAGCGACACTCACTGATGGAAGGCTGCTAATCCGAATAGATGTGAGGCTGCTATAGTCCATGAGCACCAAAGAATGATAACGCTTGTTGCCACGAGAGGCCAACTCCATTTTCTTCTGTCCAACAGCGGTTTATACGCCCGTGGTTAGCACTGCCATGGAATCGCTGCCCCTGCCAGACACGACTCTATATACACCTCTTACGCTGAAGGTGATGAACTGTGTGGCTGATGGAGTGGAGGCCTTGGCCAGGACGGTACAGGCATATGCTCCCAGCAGCAAGAGGTTAGTCGGGCAGCAGGCAATGATTTTGAACTCATGTGTATAATCGCTTTTACCTTCTATACCAAAAAACTTCTTCGCCTTTCACAGAAGCATCACAAAATACTGCCATAATTATTGCTGTTATTCTGGTACGGTGGCAGGTTGATGTGAGTGTGTCGTCCGTTGGCGGGAGCCATTATTGTGTACAAATTTCCGTCATATTCAATAAACAGAACTATTATTTTGAATATTGATAAAACTCGTACAAGGTAATGGGTCAATTGATAATTACTGACGGCTCCCATCATTATTGGCCGTTAAGCACAGCTATAATATCATCGATACGTCGCATTATTTCCTCATTGCCGCGCACAGGGGCAAGGAAGCATATTTCCCCGCGCACTAAATGCGGAACCGATCCACCGTTCGCTTGTAGGTGTCACTTGTGCTTTACAGCATTCAGGAGAATAATATTTGCTCATATATTAAAAATAAAAATCGTACCACAGGTACAATCAAATTTCGATTATGGAGCCTGAACTCCTGGAGGTGGAGGAGCAGCGGCGGCTGCTGGCGCTTCTGCACGAGTCTGGTGTCCGCACCGACGGTTCAGGCGTCACGCGCATCATGTGTGGGTGAGGATGTGTGGGGCCTACTCGTGAGGATGTGTGGGGTTGGGTCGGCTGTAATGGGAGATGGTGTGGAGTTTGGGCAGCTATAGTGGCGATGGTGTGGAGTTTGGACAGCTATAGTGGAGATGGTGTGGAGTTTGGACAGCTATAGTGGAGATGGTTTGGGGTTAGACTGGCTGTAGTGTGAGATGGTGTGGGGTTTGTCCAGTTGTAGTGGGAGATGGTATGGGGTTTACACGGCTGTGATGAGAGATGTGTGGGGTTATAACGGCTGTAGTGGGAGATGGTTAATAATTGAAGAAGACACTTCGGAGACAATGAGCGAAGAGGTAAAGAGTATCTTCCACTATTTACCTCTGTGTCGCAGTTATGTTCATTTCTTATTTGCAGATACGACGACGACATTCGTCTTATGATTACCGATGAACCTCCTCCTGCCAGCGACTTGGACCCATCGATCAAGAACGATGGATGCTGCCTTTGTTAGAAGCTCCTCCATTGCTGAAACCCCTGACGTCAAGGAGGTGATGCTGCACTGCAGACTGGCAGAGGAGGTCTTCCTTTCACTTCAACCATAGCTGTGTTCGGCAATGGACGTGAACGCTTGTTACCGTTCACATGTCTGTTATTTATCAATCGCCTCTAATGTTTTTCCAAAGAAGTATTGAAGCTAGGCATTAAATTTTGATCTTCATCACTAGACACTTTGCCGTTACAAACTCGTGCTGCACATTATTAAATTCTGAAATGCAGCACGTCTTTGATGGTCTCATGATTCAGTAATATGTTATATTGATTAAATATCATATAGATCGCAGATATATGTGTAAGTTACTCCATGTAGGTAATAGATATGTTCAAGATGGTAATAGAGAAGTTTAAATCAAAGGTTATATTATTAAATATTTGCCTCATCTCGAACTATGTAACACAGCAAAATTAAGTTCAGGTTACAGATATCTATTTGGAATCTAGTAAGCAGTTTTTTCCTTTCCTCCTTTTTTCCTCCTTTTCCATCGAAAAGGATCATTTAGAGGTATTTAATCTCATTTGTTCAGTGTTTGCGGGCCGTGCTCGTACAGAATTACTTACCTCTGGAAATTCTAATGACTGATACTATTGAAGTCTTTCTAATTTTGAAGGCTGACGGAAGGCTGGCTACTGATAAATCAATTGTTTCGCTTATTTCAAAGTTCTGTCATTGAGAAGTTTTCTGGAACGCGATAGTGTGTTATTATTAACGATAGTTCTGTTGAAAAATTAATTCGTTAGGGGAATTTTCTCTTTCACAATTTTTGCGAATTAAGCTGTTAGTAATTTTTGAACATGAGGTTTCAAGGGACATTGTATTTCGATATTACGACGTTTCGGGAACACAGTATTTAATATCAAGCAAAGTGAAGCTTTAGTAAAGCTCAAGTTAGAACTGATGAACCTAAATTTGCCGGAATAACACACATACGTCAGATAATCTTCTCATTCCGTGCTGCCAAACGGTCGGGGGGCTGTAGCAAGAATGTGATCTTAGGAATGTGATGGCCAAGAATGGTCTTGTACTAATGAATGTGATCTTCATTCACAACGATACACTAATGAATGTGATCGTTCATTCAGTATGGTCTTGTAATAATGAATGTGATCGTTCATTCACTACGATCTTGGACCATTGAATGTGATCTTTCATTCACTACGATACATAAACGTAAGATCATAGACCTACGTGCCTAGCTAGGTACTCGTAGCGGCCTAAGTACACGTAGCGGCCGATTTTTCGTCTGTGATTGGTTGGTTTTTGCTCGTTAAGCTGTCAACGATTGGCTGACGGAATTCCGAACTTATAAACAATTTTTGATTTTACGGACCCTGGGCTGCGCATTCGTAGGTCTAACGTACGACAGTGCAGAGGAAGGCTGCTAAATACGATTTTTAAATTAGACTTTATTTATACTATTGCTGCACAGCTTCTATGCCAATAAAGAGGTAACAGTCAGTATCTAGAGTCGTCGGAGCAAATCAAGTTTAAAATAACACCGAATTTCTCGTTCAAATGAATAAAAATTTCGTGAGTGAAGGTTATGTTGAGATACCAAAATTTGAGCTGTAGTTGCGGGTTCGATCCTAGCTCCCTGCGATAGTTTTGGTCTGAAATCGACGAAGTGGCCGAGTGGTTATGATCACCAGATTGGAGCACCCAGTTGAAGGTTCTAAACCCGCAGCTGGTTGTTATTTCTGTTTGAAATCGTCAAGGTGGTGAGGTGGGCAGTAGCGCGCTACATGTAGCGGCAGCGCTACATTTAAGCAATGGTAGCGGTAGCGCCCGCTACATTTAGAGCATGTAGCGGTAGCGGCCGCTACATTTCAAAGTAGCGCTGCCCAGCTCTGAATATAGACTATGTAATATCTGTGTATATGCGCTTGAATGCTCCACATGCACCTGAAATACTAATATACTGACCAAATCGGTGTTAGTACTTCACGGATGTTAGAATATCGCGAGATGCTTTGGAACGCAACTTCCCGCGGTGCACGTGGGAGCTGTTAAAAATTTTCATGCACAAGACGCCACTTCGACATAAATGCATCAGGCAATTCACATAACGGCGCAATAAGCACCCTTACAATGCAATTGTAGCTGTAAATTTCCATCTGTGCTGATGTTGGAGACAATGCTATTGTAGCTATAATTTCTATCTATGCTGATGTTATGTTAGGGAGAGGGAGCGCCATGCGGGGGCACGGCGTTGAAGGAAACTTGATTGTTTGATTTTACAAGACAAAAGTTTTTCAGTTGTATGACTTACAACCGATTTCCATCAAACACGGGTAAAATTACCATTGTGATGAATAAATATCTGATGAAAATTGGAGGCATTGCAAGTGGACTACGTACGAAGTGAGAATACCAAAATCAAAATTATAATTGCAGCAACGTGGCAACAGCGCCGGAAACGTAAAAAACTAGTCAACCGGCTGGATGAGAGGTCAGACTCGTTGAGGCGTCGAGTGCGTCTGCAGTAGCCGTCCGGCGTCGCTGGGTGGGGAGAAAGATGTCTGTATTCGAGGCCACTTTTCATCTATTTTGCTCGAAGTGCGCTTAAAGTCTCAGTAACAACGAAGCGCACTGCCATATTTTATGAAGTACTGAAGATTGCTGCTCCAATTCCAACGCAAATGAGAAGTTAATAGCAAGTAAGCCGCCACTCGTTTGATTCTGAACAATGAATCGTGAACGAAATCTGGCACGTGCATGGGTCAGATTTCCGGGAACGGTTAAGTAGTTATGCAGTGCAAAACGTAGACTCAGTTCAGTCATTCGAGTTCTGAGATATTGTAACGTTTCCTCAAATTCTATTGAAACACTATTTAATAGTTCACTAAATGTAAATCTGAGTTTTGTATTCTGTTCAGGAGATGCGCAGCAGTACTATCATGAATTTTGAAAGTGAACTGTACGAAAGATTTCGGTGCCTATTTATTATTTTGTCAGGAAATTGTTGTGATCTCTTATTAGATGCTTTTAATTATCTATAAATTATTACGGTAAATTGTGTTATTCAAGTTAATTTAGAATTAAATAATATTAAATTGTATATTCATAATAACAAACTCGGAAACGCCGTTCGAAGCAGCAACGATGTCGTTGGCCGAGGTGCCCTCTGATCAATTTGAAGGCTTCGCCGCAGGTTTAGTCGAGTTTCTCCCTCACTCCTACCAAGTGAGCCTCATTAGAAAACTCTATTTTAGAAGCCGATTAAATTCGAGGAAGAAACAATCCAAAAGATCAAATAGAGCTTTCAACTTGTTAAAAGTAAACAGCCTATAAAGCGGAGTTTGCTCTAATTAACTCTATTTTAGAAACCGGAGATCACGTTATCATGGATACTGACGACTTGTGATATCTAGATGTACAGATTTCATATGACTAATACAATTTTATACTTATCTTGCATATAAGTTCAAAACTATAATGCACGATCATCGTAAAAACAACAGTAACTAGAGGAGCACGATCTGGGCAGGAAGTTTACGATTTTGGTCCCCAACAAAACTAATTTAAAAGAAATCTACTGAAATAATCTGATACATGCAAGGAGAGGTAAGAGACAGTGTAACCACTAGCAGTTTATCTGACATGGTGGGCAGTACGTTCTCATCAGTATATATACAGAGGTGGGCAGTAGCGCGCTACATGTAGCGGCCGCTACATTTTCAGTAGCGGTAGCGTCCGCTACATATTTAAGTAGCGATACGAGGTTTTGCCGCTACAGCGCTACCGCTACATTTATAGATAAAGCCTTTAGATTTTACTTAATAGTATTAAATATTATTTTAAAACCAGCATGATACATACATAATATAAATTACAGAATAAAACTGAACGAAATATTTCGGTGTAATGTTNGATTTCAAGGAAACTTTGTATATAAATACCTAACCTATCAACGAAGATGTTTAGCTCGTGACAATTTTTCTATTTTGCTTTCGTTCGCGAGCTATACAGATATAGGAGGAACGACCGGATTTTCTACCGGCCGGTTTAACCAAGAGCCTTATACGTATTGCCGTATAACTCGCAAACGAAGGAAAACGAAAAAATTGTAAACATCACCGTTGCTGAGGTTAGGTATTCAAATACTAAGTTTCGTTCAAATCTGTTCAGAAGTTTAGAAAAAATTTCTTGATTACTACGAATTTAAGCATGTATTGCTGTTTATATCACGAATGAAGGTGAAATAAAAAACCTCGCGAACGAAGGCACGATCGAAAAATTTTTCACGAACTAAACATTACCGTTCGGTAGTTAGGACTGTAAATTCGAAATTTCGTTCGAATCTGTTCAGTAGTTTGGAAGAAATTACTTGATCACTGAATTTCGGCCCGTAATGCCATATAACAATGGCAAAAACAAACGATGGCAAAATTCAAACAATTTTCACGAGCAAAACATTATCGTTAGGTCCTAATGAATACGTGAACCAAGATTCATCGAGTTAAGTTCATTAGTTTGAGAGATATTCCTTGATCATGGAATTTGGAAATTGGCCGTGAGACCGGCTGCGCTCCCCGGCCGTTAATTTGTCCGAGACGTAAACCCAGGTAAGGTCAAAAAAACAGATCTGGGTGACAAACACAAAACCATCGCTGGGAGTCATGTGCTGCACGTGTTGTGTACAAATCGTCAAACAAACGTTCGAACGGAGAAAGTCAGTTGCGTTTGCCGTGGTAGCACTTGTGTGAATTGCGATCTCTTAACGTCTAAAGTAGCTAATCGGTAAATTTGTGACTCAAAGTTTCTTAATTTCTTATAAGTATTCAAAACCTTAATTATTTGATTTGTTTACTCATTAACTTTAACCCGACTGGCTTTCTCCCTCAGAGGTTTGCCGGTCCGCCTTGTTATTTTTATTTTTTCTTTATTTTATTTTTTTTTTCTTTTCTTGCTCTTCTACTTTATTTAGTTTTTGTCTTGTTATTTTTTTTGTTTGT